TCGATTGTTTCTGTTAGTAGAAGGTCGAAACTACCATAACCAAAAAAAAAATGTCACGAACTTTCAAGATGTTTTTTTTTTGTTCATTTTTGAAATAAGCATGGGTTAGTCCTTTTAGGTGTAAAGTTTCAACAAGTTCTGAATACTATTTCGGTTTTTATAAACATATGTCTACGATGATTATGAGTTATTTTACCTTTTTATAAAATTGTAAAAAAATTTTTTTTTTTATTAAATGGTAACAGATGCTGAAAAACGTTTTTTTTTCCTAAATTGCCGTGATATAGTCCTTTCAGGTGTAAAGTTTCAGCCCATTCTGATGCCTCCTTCCACTTATATCAACACATGTCCACAATGACTATTTTCATATAAAAATGCAAGAAAAACTCGGTTTTTTCGAAATGAGTAACCGGTACAGAAAAACCGATTTCATTTTTGAAATTAGAGGGGCGTAATACTTCTAGGTGTGAAGTTTCAGCCAATTCTGACCACTCCTTCTATTTTTGTCCATCATTTGTATGGAGTCGCGGCACTGTGCGACGTGGTCATTATCTTCAAATGGATTATGTCTACCTTTTGACAGTTCAGCCAAAAAGTGTTGATGCCGAAATATGTTTTTCATCAGTAAGTTTTGTATTTAAAAACTGCAGGTCAAGCTTAGAGGACTCCGTTTTGAATGCTTTGCTGCTCTTGCGAAAACATTTTAAGTGCAATAATAACAACACCGGCTAAAAAGGGGTATGTGTTATTAACCAGACCCAACTACCAACATGTATTTCGACTCGCTGAATCCGATTCTGAGATCCGTTTAACTCGTACGCCCTCAAAATTTCTAGTAAATTGCAAAAAAAAAATGACAAAAACATCTCCATTCGCCATTTCTCTATAGAGTAGAATAAACTTGTTTAGAGAAATTGTTTTTGTATATTTTTGTTTTATGTTTTTTTTTATTAATCGTCACCTTCGAAAGTACCTGGTATTTACATTATTATTTGTGATGTATACGTTCCTCAATCACATAGTTTTTTAAATACAATTAAAAAAAATTTTTACATTAAAATTTGTCTGATTTAATAAATATCGCTAGCGTAGAGTGCAAAGTTGCTAAGTCCCAATTTAAAAATTGTACAGGAGAGGAAAAACTTCGTATAGCCATTTTCTTCAAGTATTTCGCAAAACTTGGAATACAACATTTTGCCTGTTTAAAGCAAAGCAAAACTCCATACGAATCGGAGGGATTCGATATTTATTAAAAGATTTCGAACTTTTTGGGCCTTATCGAATTTTCGGAGCTTTTTTTGGCCTTAACAAGTTTTCCTTTCATTGAATATAAACGAGAAAACATAAAACAATCACCTTTACCCTTTTCGAAACGATGCATTTTTAATTTATCTAGCCTCCTATATCAAAATATGATTTATCATTTAAAGTGAAGTTAGCAACTTTTCACTGTAAGCTAGCGATATATGAGTTTTACAATCAGTTTATCGTAAATTTTAAATAGTTTTATTTAATGGTATGTTTAAATGCTTTCAGATATTGAATTTTTACTCATATTCATAAAATTTATGACTCAATTTGAATCCCGAGATAAATCCCGGGATCCCGGGATTACCTAAAAAATATCCCGAAATCCCGGGGTCCCAATTTTCCTGATATTTTGGCATCCCTAGTTGTCACGTATTTAAAAAATCAAATTCAACTTAATTCAACAGTCATCTGAAATATTTATGTAGGTATCACAATATCAGACTCTAGAGATTTGTTAATTTCTTAACTATATTTAGGAGAGTTGCCAGCTCTTTCAAATGTCTTAGCTAACCCATGCACAAATCCGAAGACGAAGATAATGCGAAGACGAGCATGAACTCGAAGAAGAATACTAATACGGGGACCTAGGCTAATATAAAAAGTAATATACATTTCTGCAGTATAAAAAGAAATAAAAAGGAATCGAAATATTGATACACGTCATGGGGATATAATATAAAAAGTAATATAAATTTCTGCAGTATAAAAAGAGATAAAAAGGAATCGAAATATTGATACACGTCATGGCATATATCTATTTATAAGCTGTGGATCTGCTTCTCTATTGCTAAGTATTAATAATTTGTAATTCATATTCACTTATTAAATTCAACTCAATACAATCAAAACGAATATTTCATGCACCGTTTTAAACTTGAAAGTGATCTTAATAATATCCCGTATTCTACGTTTAAGTTTAGCGGCTGTGACTCCGACACAGCCTGCAGGTCAAGACGTAGGCGCTGGACTGATCTTTTTTCATGATGTACTGCATTCTTGAGAGGGTTGTGAAAAAATATGTAATCCCTCATTTCGTGGCCATTTTGTGGCGGCGGGAATCTAGGATTTACAATGATACTAGTTACGTTCCCCAACTTTTCTGGGTTAAAACCTGTAAAACTGTCAAAAGGCAAAAGAAGCCAGAGAACCGAGTACGGGAACGCTTTCTGGCGAATTCCTGTAAATTCTTGCAACTTCTTGCGAGTTAGGGAACGCAGCTACTGAATATATATACGTTATTATATTGTCATCAGAACTAAAGGCCTGTACCAAATTTGAGATTAATAGGTCAACAGGAAAGGGATGAAATCTCAATTACTAGATTTGACCCAAAAACTTACAGTACAAGCTAAATAAAACCGAATAAAAAGCACATATATGTATGTACAATGCAACTACATAAATAAACATAAGCATGCTTATATATATATATATATGCATATATGCAAAATGACAGCCGCTGTGGTGTAGTGGTAAGCAGTGCGCGCTTTCACTCCGCAACGCCTGGTTTCAAGCCCTGGTCAAAGCAACATCGAAAAAAATTTAGAAAAAAGATTTTTTCTTAACAGCGGTCGTCCTCCGAGTGTATTTCTGCCTTGAAAAACAGCTTCTTATAAAAATACAACCGCCGTTCGGAGTTGGCGTAAAACTGTAGGTCCCTCCGCTTTGTGTGGCAACATCGAGGCGCACGCCACAAATTGTGTTAGCGCCAATCTATTATTATTTTTATATATGCAAAATATATTCAAAAAAAATATTAAAAATATACTCACGAAAAATGTGGAAATATGCAGATATGCAAAAAATATGCAAATATTCAAATATGCAAAAAATATGAAAATGTGCAAATATGCAAAAAATATGAAAATATGCAAATATGCATAGGGATAAATATTCTTCATTTTCAATGCAACGAGCTTCTGTCTTGGTCCGGGATCTCTTGGATGCTAAACAAAAATATGCAATTTCATAGAATTCCGATGTCTAGTTATAACATTTAAATCACATTTTCAATGAAAGTCACATTTTAGTAGGCTGAGAGCTATTTTGTGCCAATTGTGGTAGGAAAAAATTTTGAGTGGCAACACTGTTTGTTTATACATATAAATATTTTCTTCATATGCATAGCGGCTGAGAAACCAGTTTTAATATTTTAAAGACAAAAACGCAATTCACGCAGCTTGTTGGTGTCTTCATACTTAGCGGTGCATGCACTGATATACCATTTTAACGTAGAAATCAAAAACCAACAGACTTCTACGTATGTAATGCTGTGCGTTGGGTAACAGCTTACACGCGAAGCTCATTTAACAGAGATGTATGTGACAACTCTCAAGCAATGCCAACTATGCATAACAGAGCCTTTAGTCTTAGCCAGACATGGTGCAAACAGCTCTTAATAGGTTAAGTCGATTTCCTGTTCCTTAATTTAAAAATGTTTAATACTTAATTTGAATAAAGTTTCATTTAATTTGAAAAAAAAGTTTCATTTGGTTTGAATAAAGTTTCATTGATTCTGAAAAAAGTTTCATTTAATTTGAAAAAGGTTTCGCTTAATCTGAAACAGGTTTCAATTAATTTGAAAAAGGTTTCGCTTAACCGGAAAAAGGTTTCATTTAATTTGAAAAAAGTTTCATTTAAACTGAAAATGCTATATACAATACTTATTGCATATTAGAAACACAGAAGTTCACGGAAACCCTTTCTTATAGGCAATCTTTCTTTCATGAAGAATACGCTCAATAGAAAGATCCTTTTTATATACACATTAATTTATGCATACTCTATATTTTAATAAATGTATTTTTTTTACAGACTAGTACCCCATATTTCTGTATTTATTTTAGCAAATGGAACAATGTTAAGAAGAATTTCACTGTTTTAATGAATTATCACAAAAATGATTGGAAAAATATAACTTTACAAAACAAAACGTAACAAAGTATATTGTTCGGAGCAGCAGCGGATAAGCCAGCAACATAAAATATGTTTATCAAAATCAATATGAATAACGTTATCTGATCACACTGAAATTTTCATACTCAATTGAGCTGCATATTTACTTGTATGTATTTAAACTGTGCTAATTTTGTTTCCCCTTTATACTATGTATAAAGCATACGTATATACATACATACATATATGTATGTGCATACGTACCGCCCGCGCTCAGTTGGATACATTCGTATGCAAGCAAGCGAAAAATAGTACATATGTATGTAAGCAATATTGTGTGCGCGGGTGCATACGTGCATAAATATATATATGTAAATTCTCATGCATTTAAGAAAACTGGTTTTCTATTGTTGGTGATGAATTTGCAGTTATCCAATGTAATTAGGACATACTTAAATAGTTCAAGGTGAACTTTCTGTTAGTTAGTCGCGGACCAAATCTTGTTAAATACAGTTGCTTAACTTATGCATACATCGTTTGTTTTATTTTAATAGCTGCTAAAAAGGCTTAGTAGCTCAACATTTGGTGACCCCGACGTGATCGTATCACGCGATTTTTCGTTTGTTTCCGGCCGCTTACTGAGATAATTCTGCCACACTAGTGTAAACGTCAGCAACTTCGTCATGCCAGGGGAAGGTGCAGATCGAGTAGCCTTTCTAAAGCTGAAAACAAAGGCCATATTCAGCAGACTGGAGAGCTTGATTAACGAGTTGGACGCAGACAAGCTACACAGTATGGATGAGTACAGTCTTTCAGCAATGCTAGAATCCTTAGGCGAATTGAAATCCAGTTTTTCTGCCGCACACACAAGCCTAGAGGAATTGGACTTCGACTCCATTGCCAGCGACCTGCCAAGTAACTTCGATGCTGCTCTAATCAACCTTAGAGCTACACTGCAACGCGAGATTGGTAAACGTAGTGCCTCGCAACATTGCTCCACGCTCAGAATGAACTCCAGTGAGACCCAATCAATCATTGTGAACGCTAATAGCTCACGCTTGCCATTGCTGACACTGCCTAAATTCAGTGGCGCCTACACCGAGTGGACAAATTTCTATTCAATGTTCACGTCAATAATCGACAAGGACAGCGACCTCACCAACATCGACAAATTGCAGCATCTTCGTTCCTGTCTGAGCGGCGCTGCCCTTGACACCGTGCGCTCGCTGGAAATAAACGACGCTAATTATAACACTGCATTAGATCTTTTACAAAAGCGCTTCGATAACAAACGTCTTATATTTCAGGCACACGTCAGGGAGATATTTGGGCTAGAGAGGGCAGATTCAAACGTAACCAAGCTACGAGAGCTGACAGATAAGGTCACAGCACACATACGCGCATTGCAGTCGCTCGCATCCAATGGGAAGATCGCAGATGGCATCATCGTACAATTGGTGATCCAGAAACTCGACAAAAAGACGCAAGCTAAATGGGAGGAGAGTTCATCGATCAGCGAACTGCCATCCTGGGATCAATTAGCTATGTTCTTGGAGAAGCGCTGCAGAACACTCGAGAACGTTGAGCATTCTATGCAGACACCGACTGGTCAGGCGGTAAAAGCTAACAAGAACGTGAGTACTGGTCAGAGGAAATCCTTTGTTGCTTCCAACGGCTCAAAAGGTGTTTGTGTGTTTTGTGGATCTGCCGAGCATGCAATTTATAGCTGTCAACGCTTCGCAAATTTGTCTCCGAACTTACGCCTGAGGGAAGTTAAGAAGCTTTCCCTTTGTCTTAACTGCCTAAAGACTGGGCATCAAATTCGTGACTGCAAATCCGGATCGTGCCGCGCCTGTCAGTCGAAACACCACACGCTCTTGCATTTCGAACGCTCAACTGCATCGTTAATCAATAGTCAAGCCGAAGCTTCGTCGGCAGCTACAGTTCAATCCAACGCTATGACTGCATCGTTATCTGTGTCGCCTAGTGCCCCAGTATCTCCTTCTGATGCTGTGTTCCTAGCTACTGCCGTCGTTCTGGTAAAAAATCGTGCTGGAAGCTTCGTGCCTTGCAGGGCGCTTTTAGATTCTGGCTCCCAGTTACACTTTGTCACAACTCGCCTTGCAAACCAATTGCAGCTTGTAAAAGCAAAATCTTCTGCTACAGTATCTGGCATTGGAGATGCCAATTTCTCAACGGAGGGTTACTCAGTCGACCTCGTACTGAAGTCGCGGACTTCAGATTTCTCAACAAACATAACAGCTGTTGTTGTGCAAACCATAACCGACAACCAGCCTGGCTGCTCCGTGAGCACCAACGAGTGGAATGTTCCGTCGAATATACAACTAGCTGATCCTGGGTTCAACTTACCGCAGCGAATTGATCTGCTCATTGGAGCAGCATTGTTCTTCGATCTGCTATGTGTGGGGCAGATACGCTTGGCATACGGTTTACCACTCCTTCAGAAAACACGCCTCGGTTGGGTGCTATCTGGAGGGGGGCAACAAGCTCCAAAACTATCATCTTTTGTGGTGCGACGGAAGTCCTCCAGTGATATTATTTCCACTCGGTTGGAAGATTTAGTGCGTCAGTTCTGGGAAATAGAGCACAACTTCGAGCCGATCTCTAAGGCCTCCCAAGAAGATATCGACTGCGAAGCCCACTTCCGGGAAAATTATTTGCGATTGTCATCAGGCGAATACTCAGTTCGTCTTCCCATGAAGCGTGGTGTGGAGGCCCTTGGAGACTCCTATTTGCAAGCTCGTCAACGCTTCGAAAGTCTTGAACGAAAATTCGCTCGTAACCCTGAGCTTAAAACAGAATATAGTAAGTTCATAAAGGAATATCTGGACCTTAATCACATGTCGCTAGTTACCAATGAGGTTTTTCAACAATGCAAGTATTTTCTGCCGCATCATTGCGTCATCAAGGATGACAGTAGCACAACAAAGCTGAGAGTGGTTTTTGATGGCTCTGCATCCACTACTTCGGGCTTTTCGCTGAACGACCTACTCATGGCAGGCCCAACTATTCAGCCGAAACTTTTTAATATCCTTATTAGATTTCGTACTTTTCCCATAGCACTTACTGGGGACATCTGTAAGATGTATAGGTGTGTTCGCGTCACCCCACCAGATAGCATGCTCCAATGCATATTGTGGCGTGAATCTCCTCAGGAAAACTTTGCCATCTATAAGTTAGACACGCTGACTTATGGAACTAAGCCTGCGTCATTTCTGGCCATACGTGCCATGCACCAACTCGCAGCTGACGAATCCTCGACTTACCCCATTGGTGCAGAAATAGTGCGTCGAGACTTCTACGTAGATGACTTGATATCTGGAGGCGATTCGATGGAAGAAGTACTGAATATCAAGCTACAAACAACTAGCCTCCTTGCTCGAGGAAACTTTTAGTTACGCAAGTGGTGCTCTAATAGTCCAGATATCCTTCGTGATATACCTGACGTAGACAAGGAACGTTTCCTTAAGTTTGACGATGGCAGTGACATCACCAAAGCTCTGGGACTAGTTTGGGATCCGGTCAAGGACAAGCTGCTATTTTCGTTTGTGCCACAACGAGAACTCGGTAAAAACTCAAAACGCTCTGCGTTGTCTACTCTAGCTCGCTGTTACGATCCCCTTGGACTAATGGGCCCTACGCTGACCAAGGCGAAGATTCTTCTGCAACGCATGTGGAGAGACAAGCTTGAGTGGGATGAGAGTCTACCGCAATCGTTAAACACCGCCTGGTCTGCCTTTTGCAGCGGGTTTGCAGACATACAGCACCTATCATTTCCTCGTTACGTCTTGCAACCTGGGGCCATTACAGAAATTCATGCATTTTGCGATGCAAGCCTTGAAGCTTATGGGGCTTGCGTTTATACGCGTTCAGCCAAGGATAGTAAGGTACAAGTGCACCTGTTGTGTTCGAAGGCCCGTGTCGCTCCACTGAAGACTATCACCGTGCCCAAGCTGGAACTCTGTGCAGCAACACTGCTGGCACAACTCATGGGTGAGTTTACAAAAATGAAGCTTTTTAACTGTTCATTTCATTGTTGGTCAGATTCCTCCACTGTCCTCTCGTGGCTGCGAGAAGAACCATCGAAATTTAACGTATTTGTCGCTAACCGAATTTCCACCATACATCAATTAACGGAGGGCATGCGGTGGCACTATGTTCCGACAGCAATGAATCCGGCGGACATTTTATCCAAAGGAGCTACCCCGCAGGAACTTCTAGGATCTTCACTTTGGATGCACGGCCCGTCATTTTTGCGAGAAGTGGAGGGCAGCTGGCCGCGCATGTGTCTACCACAACCAAAACTTCCAGAACTTCGACAAAAGGTGTTGCTTGCCGCACATAACCGCAATGACATTTCGCTTTCGTTCAAGTACATTAATTCATTTGGAACAATGCAGCGCATTTTTGGGTACGTCAGCAAATTTGTCAATATTACAACATCGCCAAGCTCTTCGCAGCTCACAGCCGCAGATATTCACCATGGAACTCAACTGCTTATTCGCTTAGTACAAAGAGCGCAACTTTGGCCGGAGTACACGGCATTACAGGCCAATAATTGCGTCCCGAGTTCGAGCAGCATTGTTTCGCTATCACCATTTCTTGATGACTTTGGAATTATTAGAGTCGGCGGGCGATTAAAAAACTCTATGCTTAGTTTTGAATCGCGCCACCCATGCATTATTCCGAAGGATCATCCACTGACATTTAGTATAATAACCTTTTTTCATCGCAAACAACATCACGCAGGTCCTCAAGCTTTACTCGCCTTCATTCGAATGCAGTTTTGGCCCATAGGTGGTCGGAAAACAGTCACTCGAGTCCTACAAAAATGCATTATTTGCTGCAAATCGAGACCGCGCCTTGTCGAGCACATAATGGCCGACCTGCCTAAAGAGCGAATTCAGGCCTCGCGCCCATTCATAGTCACCGGTGTGGACTACTGTGGGCCATTTTATTACAAGCCTGAAGTACGCAATAAATCGCCCCACAAATGTTATGTAAGCGTTTTCATTTGCTTCGCCACAAAGGCTGTATGGATGGAGTTGGTAAGAGACCTCTCAACAGGTGCTTTCATTGACGCGCTAAAACGATTCATCGCTACGCGTGGCATACCCAGCTGCATCTGGTCTGACAATGCGACGAATTTTGTAGGCGCCAAGAACGAGCTTAAAGAACTACGGAACTTAGCCCTCAGCGAGAAACACCGCAGCGAAGTCCACAACTTTTGCCTCAGTAATGGCTTTGATTGGCGTTTCATCCCACCTCGCTCTCCGCACTTTGGCGGTTTGTGGGAAGCGGCCGTAAAAACAGCCAAACAACATTTCTATCGTTCCGTTGGCTCATCACTGCTTGGCTTCGATGAATTGCGTACTTTGGTATGTCAAATCTGTGCTGTAATTAACTCTCGTCCTCTCGTACCCCTTTCAGAAAACCCAGAGGATTTAGATGTGCTAACGCCAGGCCATTTTTTGATTGGTGGTTCTCTGACAGCTCTTCCGGAACCGGATCTAACGACGCTAAACTACGACCGACTTGATCGATGGCAGCGTGCAACATACATTAAACAGGTTTTTTGGAAGCGGTGGACTCAAGAGTATCTAACTCTTCTACAGCAACGCGCAAAGTGGCGTTTACCTCATGCCAACATTCAAGTCAATGATGTCGTATGCATAAAGGAAGAAAACTCACCACCACTGAAGTGGCCTCTAGCACGGGTAATCGAAGTTGTCCCTGGAGCAGACGGTGTCGTACGTGTGGCACTTTTAAAAACATCTAGCGGCATAACGCGACGAGCCGTGAACAAGCTGTGTGTCCTCCCGGTGAAGGATTCTGTTGAAAGCCCTGACCTTTCAACGGGGGGGAGGATGTTCGGAGCAGCAGCGGATAAGCCAGCAACATAAAATATGTTTATCAAAATCAATATGAATAACGTTATCTGATCACACTGAAATTTTCATACTCAATTGAGCTGCATATTTACTTGTATGTATTTAAACTGTGCTAATTTTGTTTCCCCTTTATACTATGTATAAAGCATACGTATATACATACATACATATATGTATGTGCATACGTACCGCCCGCGCTCAGTTGGATACATTCGTATGCAAGCAAGCGAAAAATAGTACATATGTATGTAAGCAATATTGTGTGCGCGGGTGCATACGTGCATAAATATATATATGTAAATTCTCATGCATTTAAGAAAACTGGTTTTCTATTGTTGGTGATGAATTTGCAGTTATCCAATCTAATTAGGACATACTTAAATAGTTCAAGGTGAACTTTCAGTTAGTTAGTCGCGGACCAAATCTTGTTAAACACAGTTGCTTAACTTATGCATACATCGTTTGTTTTATTTTAATAGCTGCTAAAAAGGCATAGTAGCTCAACAGTATATATATTATTTATGTAGAAAACCTTTCACAGTGGGATATATTGACAAATTTTAGCTTTTTAATAAAAATATAGTCAATTCAAAAACCAAAACCCTAAATATCAAAGTTTCAAACTTTCTACAACAAATTTTCATTAAAATTTAAAACTTTGTTGTCAGAATTTTTTGAAAACTTTCGGATATGCATTTTATAGTCCATTCAATTGTAGTATAATAAAGTGCAAGTTTAAAGTGGCTTCCTAGCCCGTTTTCCCGTTGATTTTTAATATTTTTTATTTTTTTTGCCTTTTTTCTATACATATTGTAATTGTGTGTTCAAATAATTTGAGTATGCTTTATATATGTAGAAGAAGAAGTGCAACACCTTCAACGAAAAAAGTTCCCAAAAATTAACGCGATTTTCAGCCATTGCATACTTCCACTTTATTATACCAAAATTTAGTGGACTATAAAACTGCATACCCGAGAGTACTTGTGCAGTTTATAAACAAAAAATTACGTATGAACAAAAATCTTTGTTCAATCATTAACCCTGAATTACAAAAATACAAAGCATCAGTATATTTTATTAACCGACTTCACAAAAAAGAGAAAGGTTATCAGTTCGTCGGAATATTTTTTTTTTTTTTTTGTATGTAACCGCATAACTTTGGACGACGTTAACCGATTTCTATTGTTTTAAAGGAAAGATGTTACCTCACAGGTGGTCCCATATTAATTTGGTTTAGATCCGATCGTCGGATCATGAGGTAATTAACGATAATCTAAAATTTGTATATGAGAATTGTTGTCGGTTTTTTTTATACTTAAAAATTACTTGTTACTAAAGTATTTGCAGATTAAATGTCCAATCGTCTTTTTAGCCAACGTATTCCTGTTTTCGGTTTCAATTCAATTTTTAATGAAAACAAGTAAGAAAGTCTAAGTTCGGGCGGAGCCGAACATTAAATACCCGGCGCAAGTATTAAATATATGTTTTCCACCTTTCCGAAAGCTACCGCTACATGATAAGCCGGGGTGTATACATTTTAAGTAAATTAGCGTCCTTAAATTTCGAAATATTG